ACAGGTTGCATTTACTGGCAGTGTGAACGGCCTGGGAAAAAAATCGGAATTGCCAAAAAATCAGAATTGGGTCACTTCAGGCTGCAGTGTGAACGCACCCTATGAACCCCAACCTAAAACTTGCCTACATGACAGTGCGGTGGTCAAGTGCTCCCGTTTTCCGTTCAGGCGCCTGCCGGAAATCAAAACCCTCCCTGACAAGAGTCAGCACTTTGCATAGAAAGGCCTGATGTGGTGACATGGTGCAACAGGCCGTGGATAGCATTGTGTAGTTTGATATGGTGTGGCATAATGTGGCATTGTGGGATATGGTATGATTTGTATAGCGTGGTATGGTTTTGTATGACATGGCATGGTATGAAGCGGTATGTTTGTGGTATGTTATGATAAATGGCCGGTAGTTGTATAGTGCCTCATGACGTCCAAAGGACCCCAAACGCTTCACTCTACATAATTCACCCATTCACAAACACATTCACACGCTGGTGGTGACAAGCTACTGAACAGTAGCCACAGCTCCCCTGGGACACATCGACAGAGGCGAGGCTGCCGTGCCCCACCATGCACCAGTGCCACAGGGGCATGGTGGGGCACGGCAGAGGCGGGAGTAGGACCAGGAACCCACCAAATCAAAACGTGTAGTACGGTGCTCTGGGCTGGGACGGTTCGGTCCAGTTCTGTTGGTCCAGCTGCGGGTCGCCTCTCAGCTGTGGGATGTTTCTCGGTCAGTTTCTGAAACAACGATCTTCCGTTTCTCTCTGACCTCTTGTCAATGATGTCTGAATTTTTAGATATTATAAAATCACAGTAGGGTCACGACCTTATTAAATAAAGAATATGATAAAGATCATTCTGCTTCCAAAAAAGTACAAGTGAGCTATTAAATAGAAATCACAAATAAATAATTCATCAGTTTAAACTGCAGCTTGTGAAGCAGCAGGTCTGATGAGTCACTTTATCTCTTAGACTCAGCAAACCGTCAGTGGTTTCCTTTATTGCAAGCTACCATGCATAAATGAAGAAGTTGATTAAATTTTACATTAAAAATAAACTTCCTTTTATGTTTTAATTTTCCGTATTTGTCGTTATTGCTGGTTAAAGAGAGGTCAGAGCAGGAGATTCTGATTCACTGTATCACTTGGTTTACCTGCTTTAAGCTCATCAATCAGTGATGAGTTCTGATTATGTTTTCATTTTGTGATTATTTGATTCAGACTTTCTAAAATTAGAAAAAACACAGGAAGTTTTGGTTTGCAAATGCAGATTATGACTTAACTCTAATCTGTAGACATCTTCTTTCCGACAGGATCAATCGGATTCTCAACCTTCCTGCCAAACCTGTAAATAATCACTAATCAATGGTCAGCATGAGGAAACAAAGCAAAACTGAACATGAAATTAATTTGTTGAGTTGTTTTCTCCAGTTTTGTCCCAGAAATCATAAAGTGAGTTCTACAACATGCTTTGTTCCTTCACTGTTTACAACATGGGCCCAGATGTGATTGGTCAGATGAGAAAATGGAGGAAAAACATCCAGAAAAAACCAAACAGGGAGAATCCTGACTGGTAATTACAGACCACTGATAGGACTCAGGACTCAGAAACAGGACAGTTTGCTCCGCAGTTACACATGTTGGGGTTTAATGTGGTTTAACCTTAAAAGGTCAGGGTAGTAAATTATTAAAATGTTTTATTGCCTTTTTGTCCCATTTAAATGCCTTTGGAGGTCCCTGTCATTAAGTAGTTGGTCTGAAGAGGTCAGATCTGTATTAGGCCTGCTTGTCCTTCCAGCGTTTGGTGTAGAGGACTAAAAGGTACGAGAAGAAGCTGCATCTTAAAAAACAGAAATGAAGTGGAGCTGGTGGAGGTGACTAATTAAAAAGTCATTGAGTTACTCCAGATCCTGTTGTTTCTATCATCTGAAATGTTCTTCAGGTGGCAGAAGGCCGACTTTGTAACCGTCTTTATGTGTCTGAAGATTCAAGTCTGAGTCCATCACTCTGCCCAGATATCAGGCCTGGTTTCTGGTTCT